ACGGCCGCTTCGGCTCGAGCGCCCCGGGCCGACGCCGCGTCGCTGCCCGCTCGCGGCCCACGGGCGCCGCCCGCGCGGGCCCCGCTCGCCGGGGCCAGGCTCCGCCGGCCGACGCGCTCTCCAGGGGCGTGGAGACGCTGCAGGACACGCGCGGAAAGAAAGCCAAGGTCGCCAACTGGCGCGCGAGGACCCAGAGACACGCATAAATAAACACGAATCCCAGGATCCCCCTATATTTTCCGATAGGTTCTTGGTTTTCGTAATTCCCCCCCACTTCCCATATTTTCCAATATTTTCTGGGGAATCGACGATTCATTGAGTCTGCGTGTAGCTTTCCCTCCTGACATTGGCGCGCGAGGGGCCTTGATCCGAGCGTCGCCGAATACTACTTCCTGGCGAGGGGCGAAAGGATCGAAGCGAAGAAATTCGAGCGCGCGCTCGCGTCCACCGAACCCCAGCAACACAATGCTGGGGCTGGCGCCCTTCGACTGCGAGGACCGTGGAGCGGTGGCCAGCGCAGAACAGAAGTTCAAGCCCGATGCTGTTTGGGAACTCATGACGCCCGACCCCAAGTCCATATCGGAATTCAATGGGTGCCCGCCCAAATCTGTCGTCTCACTGTCCAAACCAACAATGGCCACATGGGCGCCGCCCACGAGCCCCGATGCACCGGCGCAACCTGCCAGGGGCTCGTAGGTCACAGTGGTCATTAGCAGCATCGCTGGGCTTCTGAAGGGGCCTGGCTCTGCCAGCCAGAAGACGCCCGACCTCCCCGGGAAGTTTCTCGTCACGGGCGCCACGACGCAGGTGCACGAGGGACGCGCGCGCTCCAACATGGCTGATGCAGGGTCCACGGATGCTGGGGGGGGAGATCGCGGTCAGCGCACGGCAAAGTGCCCGCGCTCATTCGAGCGGGGTGCCGAAAGCAGACGGCGTCGCTGCGCCTGGGGCCTCCGCTGCGCTGGAAGACAGCGAGGTGAAGATCAACATCTCGCCAGGGGCGCACGGCTGCACCGCCGGGAGGCAGGCGCAGTCTCTGACGAGCCGGAGCACCGACGGCGCGCACACCGAGTTACTTACCGCGCCTTCCACGCCAGGCCAAAGTGCGACGGAGCCCCTGGGAGCCGAGGCGCACCCCACGTGCGCCGTGGTTTTGGCCGATGCATCGGCAGAGCCCAACCCCATCATCTTCCAGACCAATCGCTGCATCTTGAACGCGCCGCTGCAGGAGGGCTGGCGCTGCCAGGAACACGTGCCAGACTGCAGCGATTGAACACGTTACCAAACTGTCCCAGGATGAAGTCGAAGCGCTGGCGCGCAGTCTTGCAGCGGAGTGGAAGGTAGTCCTGACGACGGGCGTCGGCGCTTCCAAACCCAAGACCCGCCTCCGAAGTCAGCAGCCGGCCCAGCTGGAGACTACTGGTCAGAAGGGCGCCAGCAAAAAATCAGGCGCCTGGCGTCGGAGCCTCTTTCGCCGCCAGCGCCCAGGGGGGGGGCGGCGGCTTCTCGACCAAAACAGGCGAATGGTAACGCCAGGCTCTGGCCAGCGCACTCCCGGTCTCAGCGCCCACACTCTGTGAGCATTGCTTTCGGACGCATATCCCGAGGTTCTCTGTGAGCGGCCTGGCCGCGCTGCCGCTCCTAGACCTTGGGCAAATTTGGGTTCAGAGCAAGACGTTGACCATATCGATTGCGGTACCGTGAACCCTGTCTTCACGATCCGAATAATCATGACCGTCATCGCCGGGAGCGTAACAATCAGCACCAACACGCTCATCACCACCATCAGTCACCATCGCATCAACATCGTCGCACAGCAGTCAAGGCGTTCGACCATCTGGCGCCCCAGAGGGTGGCATTTCTATAATGAGATCGATTGATACACAGACTGCTGAGTAGATACTGGGGTCGACCGTGCGGCCGATAATGAGATCGATACATCGGAGGCTGGTGAGATCGAGACTGAGGTCGATAAAAATGTCCCGTGGTGTCTCGCGGTGTTCCGTGATCTTGTATATTCTTCGTTATGCTCCTCTGAAGGGAAGAGCGGGCGGGCAAATTCACCTGCCCAACGGACCAGAGGCGTGCTAAGATATCCGGTAACTGGTTAATAATCTTCTAGTTCGCGCGCGCGGTGCGGCCCCTGGGGGTCCCCGGACGAAAGGTACCTCGAGCAGGTCCCGGCCAAGTGGGTCCCAGCGACGGTTTTCCCCCTCGGCGCTGCCTTCCAGGCTTTCCAAAGAGCAACGCCCCAAGAGAGCCCCGAGACGCGCCCGAAACCGTCCGAAAGGCCCTGGGTCGCCGCACGATCGTTCCAAGATGCCCAAGATGACCTCCAGACGGCCCAAGCTGCCGCCAAGAAACCCCAAGAGAGCCTCAAGAGGCCGTCCAAGAAAGTATCAAAAACCAAAAACCATCTCATTTCCTTACGGAAAAAACGCATTTTCGCATGTGCGACTCTTGGGAGTTCAGGGCGTCCAATACTGCCCAAGAGACCCCCAACATCGCCCTAAGACGGCCCAACAGGCCCCCAAGAACACGGCCGAAGAGTGCCCCAAGACGACCCAAGAGGCGCCCAGGACAGCCCAAGACGGCCCCAAGAGGGGACCAGGAGGCGCCCAAAACGGCCCAAGGGGCCCCCAAGACGGCCCAAGAGGCGCCCAAGAGGAGGAACGCGATGCGAAGATCCGAGCCTTCAGCCAAAAAAAAAGCCCCAAAAAAACTCCAAGCGACCCCCAAGAGGACCCAGGGAGGCCCCCAAGAGACCCAAAAACTGCACTCCAGACGCTCCCGAGAAGCCTCCCACGAGACCCCATCAGCCATCCGAGTGGCCTCAGACCCACACAACCACGCAGCCCCACGAAGCCTCCAACAAAAGCTTCTTGACGATGGTCTTCATCGACTCCAATCGCGCCACGACGCGCCATCCAGAGACTCCTCCTCCCCCTCCCCCTCCCCCTCCTCCTCCTCCTCATCCTCCTCCTCCTCCTCCTCTTCCTCCTCCTCCTCCTCCTCCTCCGCCTCCTCCTCCTGTTCCTTGTCATTACCCGCTTCCTCCTCCTCCGCTTACTCCTCCTCCTGTCCAAAAATAAAGCCCCACGGCCCCCAAACGGCCCCCAAGAGACCACGAGAGGCGTGAAAGCTGCCTCCAAGAGACTCCCGAAACGACTGCCAAGAGACCCCAGCAGCGCCGCATTGACAACGATCCCTCGGGCAAACGGCAGAGATGAGGCTACATGGGCCAGCGGAATTAGCGAAGCGTTTAAATAAACGTCACCTGGCTCCGCTGGTTGCCCCGGTGCTTTGGTGTCTCGTAGTGAGCTCGAGAGTGAGATTGGCAGTGTGATCGATAGTGGGGTCGAGTGCGATGTCGGTGGCGAGCTCGACGGATGTATCGACACGTTAGAAAGTGTAAATGATAGTGGGATCGACTGATAAGTCAGTAGGGATGTCGATAGCAAAATCCAAAATGAGATCGATATTGAAATCGACAGAAATAAGCAGGTCGATAGCGAGATCGACCGTTGGATCGATAGTGAGATCGATAGTGAGATCGATAGTGGTGTCACGTGATGTCCCGTGGTGTCTCGCGGTGTCCCGTGGTATGTTCTGCATGTCTCCTTCTGAAGGAAAGAGCGTGCGGGCAAATACATGCCACCCGGTTCCGCTGGTCGCCACGATGTGTTTGACTGATGTCCCGAAAAACAAATAAATGGGCAACCAGATTGCTCTGTACGTTCGCAGCGAGTCCTAAAGAACAGAGGGAGCGGGCAAATGAACACCACCTAGTTCCGCTGGTTGCCCAGATGATTCCCGTTGGATGTCCCGACAGATTGGCAGATAGGAGGAAGCGCGTTTCGCGGGCGCTCGTTTGGAAAAAATGCCAACCCCACTCACCCCCCTGGAAACCCCAGGGGGGAGCTCACCCTCCTCGGAAAGTGGGGGGAGGGGAAAGGCGACGACGACGACGACGACGACTACGACGACGACAGCGGTGGCGCCGACAGCGAAGACGACAACGGCGTCGAGGACGTCCCGACAGCGACGACGACGACGACGACGCCGAGGCCGACGCCGACGCCGACAACGACGACGACGACGACGGCGACGACGACGACAACGACGACGACGACGAGCACGACGCCGAGCATGACGCCGAGCACGACGCAGACAACGACGCCGACGCTGGTGCCCACGCCGACGCCGACACCGATGCCGACGACAACGACGACGATTAGGACGAGGACGACGACGACGACGACGACGCCGAGCACGACGCCGACGCATTAGCGTCGACGTTGTTGTCGGCGTCGGCGCTGAACCCAAAGGGGAGTGGTTTTTTCCCCCTCCCCAAATGTCCCCACTCACCCCCCGTACCCCCACTGGGTCCCTACAAGCGACCACATAAAGCGCTCTTTCACAGATGAACAAACATATTGCCCTGTATGTTCGTGGTACGCTTTAGAAGAAATAGGGCGCGGGCGAACACATGCCACATGCTTCCGCTGGCTGACCCGATGACCCCCGATGGTTGTCAAGGACGCCATCGGGGCACCATCGGTGGTGCTGCGTCGCTCCGTGGTGCCCAACCAGGTTCCGCCGAATCCGATCCGACCCCACTTGCACTCCGAAAGCTGAACTCCTCCCACCCACAACCTCCTTCTCACCCGAAGAGTGGTCGCATAGATTTGTGGATGTCATGACAATGGACACCCTAACAATCCTACCATTGAGCTAACAATGTATCTAAAATGATTGAAACTTGTTCTAAAAAGGTATAAAACCATTGTTGCTACATGTTTAAGACATGTTCAAAACATGCTCTGGACATCTTGAAATTGTTTGGCAGCGTGCTCCCTCTCCATGTATCGTCGTCCACAAGCGTGGGTGGTGTTCTGATGGCCCCAGTGCCCGGAAAGACACCCCGAGGCCAACGTGAAATCCCGCCGTCTTGATTTCTGCCACGGCGTCGGAGGTCGGGCCCCCCGCCTCCCAGTCGCCTGGCGCCGCGCGACCCACCAGCGCGACGCCCACACGCATGCGGGTCCTCGGAAAGTCGAGCATGAGGTCTTCGGTCGTCCCCTTGGATATCTGCCTGTGGAGCGGGGGTGATGATGACGATGATGGTGATGATGATGGTGATGATGATGATGATGATCATTATCATAATCACCACCATCACCACCACCACCACCATCATCACCATCACCATCATCATCATCATCATCATCATCATCATCATCATCATCATCATCATCATCAACGAGGGGAGGGCGAGTGCCTTTGAAACTGGACGGGCTGCGCCTGGCAGCACGTGCTGGTAAACACGCCTGCTTCGAGAACACGTGCTGTGCACCCCGGCCAGTCGCCCTTCCGTCTCCCCCTGCTGGCTGAGGCTATGCACACGCTGCGTGAAGGACGCTGTTACGCGCAGTCCCACTGAGTGTGCAGATTCCAGCTGCAGGTGAGGAAGAATAGAAAAGGGTTGGGTCGAGGTGGGGGTCAACACGATCGTTCCCCAGACGGCCGTGCTGAGTCGATTGTCTGCATGACTGCGTACTCTAGTTTGTGCACTCGTCTGTGAAAGGCAATAACGAAGGGCCAGACCACGACGATGCCGTTAAACACGACTGCCACAGCAACCACAGCGCTAATGTAAGCAACATGACTTGTCGCTTTTCGTTGGACACTGATTACGTAAAGACGGCGCACGTTCTTGGCTCGAGCGCTGACGCACAAGTTTAAGCGTTCTCAGCAAATCCACAGGCGCGACGGACAGGATCACGCCAGTGCCACGCAAAGCATGTACAACACAACTGATGGAAATGAATGTTCAAAAGTGTGCTCAACGACAAGCGAACGAACATAGGAAAGGAATGCATACACGTATACGTCTACAGGGCTGCCTGTTGAAAGGAGTGGGTGTTCGATCTTCTTCCGCATCTATTTCCGCCTCGTCCAAGTTCAGCTCTGTCACGAGGCTGCCGACAACACCCACTTCCTCGAAAGCCCAAACACGCGACGCGGAGGGAGCCACACTATTGTGCGAAGATACACACCAGGGTACGCGTTGATGGTAGCAACTTCATGTCCTCGGACCGCTGTGACTCACCTGAAAAATGAATATACCTTCTCATGCGATGCCTCATCCCATCTTGCGCATCCATCAATCCTCTCACTTACTCAGGCTTTCTCTGACATGACATTCAGCCTGCCCATGATCCATCATCCGTCAGTGCACAGCATGAGATCTGGCATGCGTCCCATCCCCGCCTCTTTCGCTTTCTGCACTATTCGTACAGTTTTGAGCTGGTCCGTGCGCCAGAGGCTAGGAAATGCCTTGCTGAGCAGTACCAAATCTGCACACACCTTAGACAGTCTGAACCTCTGAATCAATATCAAATAACGGCACAGCGCTCGCGCACACAGCATCGTCCCCCTCCTCCTGTGAGCAGTGCCCTTGTAGAAGACCTGGATCACATATCCTTGCCTAGTGAGTCTCGCACGGGTACATGTTTGAGCAGGCACTCTGCCTGGGCAATGAGATGCTTGCGCATGGATGCATCTGCGCGCACGCGTGGGAGCAGAATTGCGAACATCAGTACATTCCCACAAGCGCGCGCTGCAAACATGCACGCGCCAACGCCCATACTGCTCCGAAGATGATCCAGCACTCCCGCAGCCAGGGGAGACCCCCGTGTCACCCGAAGTACAGCAGCTGCGAGCCAGACGGCGGAAGGCAGCGCAAGCAGGCGCGAAGGGAAGCCAGTGGGGCAGCGGCCGGGCGAAAGCGACGCCCCTGCGGGGCAGCTCTGAGACACGGCGGCGAGCGCCCCCCTCCCACCTAAGAGAGAACCACCCAACTGACAGGCAGCTAACCAGCCAGGTCGGTGCGCACAGCGATGACGCGTCCACCAGGGGCAGGACCTAACGCATCGTTCAGCGGCTCAGCCTTCCACGGGCCAGACTTACGCTGGTCAACCTCTCATGAGACCCTGCGCCACATACCACATCGTGGAGAAGGGTGAGGGTGCTTGAGCATCCGAACCGCGGCCGGCAAATATCAAAACCTGCCGGCCAAGTCGAGGGCGGATGAGCCTCTCATCTGCAAGGCCAGCCGAATGTAGCGGGCGACCTCGGCCGCGCGCCTCTCGCTGGGACCTGCATGCACGCGACCGCCCATGGCACACGTGGCACGAATGCGGACTGCCACGATGACAAACACATCCAGGAGTATCCGCGCGCGCGGGGACCAACGGTTGTGAAGGCCGTCTGAGGGCCGCGCGCGCCCCTTCTGCTCCGCCTCCACGATGCGGAACCGACCACGGAATACCTTCGGCAGCTTCGGCTCGTACGTCGCTCGCCACCTCACCCCGAGGACAGTTGAACACGGACCCCGTCCCACTGGAGCGCCAACACCCTCCCAGGGATCCTCCTCCTCCTCCTCCTCCTCCTCCTCCTCCTCCTTCTCCTCCTCCTCCTCCTCCTCCTCCTCCTCCTCCTCCTCCTCCTCCTCCTCCTCCTCCTCCTCCTCCAGGGGACTTGTGCAGAGAACTTAGGTCGTCAATGCCTCAGGAGACCGACCGACCGCAGAAACCCTGGCGACGCTGGAGCTGACCTCTCCTGGGTACCCCCTCATACTCTCACCGTTGGCCTTCTGGCAGCTTCCGCAGACTGGAGGTCAAGCCTTGGAGCCCTCTAAGAGGAGGCCACTTCTTATGCAGACGCCACCCATTGATCTACACTGATCCTGGCTGGGCAGAACTTGTAGGCCCTGGATTGGAGACAACGCCGCCCTCCTGGCCTGGCTTGGAAGCCGCTGACGCCTTGTCCAGGGCCCAAAGGCCCAGCCAAGGTGGATGGTTGGCATCCCCAGCCCCCGAAGCCCGGAAACTTTCGGGTAAAAATTGCGGAAACGTAGGAAAACTTCCGAGAGCCTCCAAAAACATAAGAAAATCCACGAGAAATGTACTACAGTAGAGGCCAGTCCACAAGAAACCTTCCACAAGAAACCCCACCCTGAGACCCGAGGGCGTCCATTGATTTTTGGTGTGGTAACGTTACGATTTCAATATCAAAGCCAACGAAACCGGAGAAACCCAGGGCAGGGTGTTTCTTGGCATGGGCCTCCACTGCAGGTGACCAAACGTCGCGCTTCGCGCAGCGCGAACCGAGAACCGCCGACACTGGAGCCGCGAAGCGCGAAGCGCGGACATCTTCGTACCCTCTGCGCGTGACCTGACCTCCCTCTGGGAATCCGTAAACGCCCGCCCAGAAGTCTCCAGAGGTCTCGAGAGGCCCCCTGGAAGCCTTCGGAGGCATCCAGGAGCTTCCAGACGCCCACTGGGGGACTGAGCACGCCCCAAAAACCCAATCCCCGAGCCCTTCTAAAGCGCCGCAGGACCTCTGCAGGGGCGAGAGCATCGCCAACTGCCGCCTCTTGAGCCGGAAGCGAAGGAAGTCGCTCACGACCTCGGGCGGAGGGGGGCACCGGCCCCTCGGCCCAGTCGGCCTCTCGCGAGGCGGAGGGGCGGCCAGAGGACGAAGAGGAGTGGGGGGGAGAAGGCTGAGCACGAGGGAGGGAGGAGGGGAAGGAAGAGGAGGAGGGGGAAGAGGAGGAGGAGGGAGAGGGAAGAGGAGAAGGAGGGAGGGGGAGAGGAGGAGGAGGAGGGAGAAGGATGAGCACGAGGGAGGGAGGGAGGGAAGGACGAGGAGAATTTTGCCTGGCCCCTCCCTCCTGCAGCCCCAGGATCAGCCGGCCACTGGGCGAGTGAGGCGTTCCTGAACGTGCAATGACGGCGCTCATGTGGACCAAGCCCAGTTGGGCCTGGAAGCGACAAGGCCGTTCTTTGACTGGTTCCGTGTTGCCTGTTTGTTGCCGGCTCTGGCACCGATGTTTCCCGGTTCCGTCGCCGTTGTTGTTCCCAATTCCGATTACGGTTCCAATCCCGATCAGTTTCCATGTTCAAGAGGCCATTTTTACCTAACAGCGAAGACTGATAGGTTTCTAGTGGGCTTAAAAGAAAGCGTCTTGAGTCCCCAGGGGGGTCTGGGCGGATGCCCGGGGAATCCGGGGGAATCTGGGGAATCCGGGGACTTCCCAGGACTCCTATAGATTCTTATAGTTTCCAATGGATTCCTACAGATTCTGTTCCCAGAACACCATTCCCAGGCCACATTTTGAATGCCCGGAGCCAACTGTAGGCCACTTCGTGTTCTTCGTGTTCCCAGAACACCACTCCCAGGCCACATTTTGAATGCCCGGAGCCAAATGTAGGCCACTTCGTGTTCTTCGTGCTCCCAGAACACCACCCCCAGGCCACATTTTGAATGCCCGGAGCCAAATGTAGGCCACTTCGTTGTACCATATTTTGATTGCCCGGAGCCAACAGTGAGCCACTTCGTGATCTTCGTGTTCCCAGAACAGCAGTCCTGTGCCATATTTTGAATGCCCGAGATGAGGCAGGCTGAGGCCGAGGCAAGCTGAGGCCGAGGCAGGCTGAGGCTGAGGCTGAGGCACGCCGAGGCAGGCTGAGGCTGAGGCTGAGGCAGGCTGAGGCTGAGGCAGGCTGAGGCTGAGGCTGACGCTGAGGCTGAGGCTGAGGCGAGGCAGGCTGAGGCTGAGGCTGAGGAGCAGGCTGAGGCTGAGGCTGAGGCAGGCTGAGGCTGAGGCTGAGGCAGGCTGAGGCTGAGGCAGGCTGAGGCTGGCTGAGGCTGAGGCTGAGGCTGAGGCTGAGGCTGAGGCTGAGGCTGAGGCTGAGGCTGAGGCTGTGAGGCTGAGGCTGAGGCTGAGGCTGAGGCTGAGGCTGAGGCTGAGGCTGAGGCTGAGGCTGAGGCTGATGAGGCTGAGGCTGAGGCTGAGGCTGAGGCTGAGGCTGAGGCTGAGGCTGAGGCTGAGGCAGGCTGAGGCTGAGGCTGAGGCTGAGGCTGAGGCTGAGGCTGAGGCTGAGGCTGAGGCTGAGGCTGAGAAGGCTGAGGCTGAGGCTGAGGCAGGCTGAGG